ACAAGAGGAGAAAGCCCTAAATTACATTCCGTCCTTCTAAAATCCCTTCTGAAGTCTGCAAACGTTTTAAAGCCCCGGATTTTAAAACGTTCGACTTGCTTGGGAAGCTAATGCATATCGTTCTAGTGCAATAGCGCAACCTGCAGTCATTCGGATTGTCACCTGTAGACAGAAGAATATCTTAGAAATTTTAGTGTTGAGACTGGTCAGCCTAATCCATCAAAAAACCATCTAGTTAGTGCTCAGCGTATCGTTCTCCCCATTCCTGTCAAGGGTACATACTACATAAAATAGGGTTTAAATATATTTAAACTTTTGTTACCCTCACTTAAAGAGGCTTTCCTTGTTTTCGTTCGGTCGGTCTTGATAGCCTATACAGTAGGCCGATGTGGGTATAACTTTTAGAGGTTTCCCAGTATTCACAATCGATTACGATTTTCTTCCTTAAACTGCTTTGAGGTCTGGACACGAAATTATAGAGTGATAACCTTGCACCTCAGTTTTGAGACTTTCAAGTCAACCGAGTGCTTAATGTGCAGTTTCCACAACGTGATAACCTCAAATTTACCTTTCGGTGCTTCAAAATTTCTTCATTGCTCTTCCTAGTGGTCTGATGTATATGGTGCAGAGAAATCAACTAAGCTGAGTCCGCCATCCGGGGGCAATTTTTTATCTGTATTGCTTCAGTCTGTGACATGTAAGAGTATTTGCCTTGTGTTCTCCGTTTCCGTTCATCTGATTTTTCAAAGGAGCCACTGCATACCCTAAATATCAAGTACACTTGCCACTAAAAGGACTATGCTAGTTGGAAATGCATAAAATTTTGGCACCTGTGTTAAATTACTTTTTTCGTGCTCAAGTGGCCGTTGACCTGTCTGCCGGGTTTGGCAACTACCACACGGATATTTGGTCATCATGTGAGTAGAAATGTCAGTGTGTGGTTGGGTGAATCCACGGGTTTCGGCAGCCGTTTGGTACATTTTATAATCCTACCTCTGCTTGAAAGGTTGAAATAGCAAGATCCGATTTACTCGTTTTCCAGGTTGCCAACAGATAATTTAGAATAAGTTTCTCCATGTCCACGAATTGGCGGTTTTCTGAGCGCGACACGTAATTTAGCGTTCACCAAAAACGATTAGTGCGGTACTCATTCTTATGACTAGTACAGTGTCGTAATCAATTATGTTCCCGTATCAGCTGATGCCCAGTCTACACTGAAACACGTATTTGTCTTCAGGTACGCTACGCTCGATTTTAATAGTCGTTTTCTACCAAGTCTTTGAGAACTCGATGACTGAAACTTTTCATTGGAAGCAGGGAATCAGTTTCAGGTCCAAATCTTACCAAATCCAACAGTTGATCGTAGAATTTGTTGCTGGGGCCATCTAAATGTGCCACGGTTCGGGGCATAGGCACCTATAAATGCGGAAAAGTCACCCTTAACATCCGTTACTGAACGTCTATCATTATTTTGGTGATGAAGTTTGTTGAACTGTGATCTGCTGTGGCAGAACTGAAACCGTGTTCACCTTGGTTTTCTCCTTTTATTTCATACCAGCAGAATGCTTAACCAGAGTCAGTCTCCGTCGGCCTTCCTCAATCAGCCGCCCGGATCCCAGCAAATAAAGTGAGGTGAAGTAAGGTCTACTTGCATCGTCTTAGTTCTTCTGCAATAAAGACAACCTAAGTTTTGGGCATGCGACATCTAATTTTGTCCAAGTGATTACTCGGGTTTGAGGTTCTGAGTCACAGAAGGCGTGTCTCCTTTCCCCTGAAGTCTGCATCCTTACCACTGAGGTGAGTGTTGATAGCTAATCAGTGAAGACTCACTGGCTCACTGATTTGCTCCATTATGTTTTTTAACAATCAAAATAATAAATCACCTCAGTTGGTGATGAAACGCTTACAACCGGATTGCCCGGTTAATTGAATAAACAAACAACCAGTCTACGTCATTCGCATCAAAGTGGGACTTCTTGAGTTTTGAGTTCCAAACTAGAACCCCATTTTAGGGACTCCATCCAGAGCCTCTGAGTTCTGTCGGATGCACATGATAGTAAAGCGCGAATATCATGGCATACCAAGCGACCGGCTGCTATATGCATTGCCAGCGTTTAACAAATGAGTAGGTATGCAGTATATATGTATGGCAAATAGTAGTGTAAAAATATAGTTCCGTAACATTTGAACTGATCCTTATGGACACTGTCAGGCTTCGCCAGCGGATATTTGGTCACCCAAAGCTGATTTCTGACTTTGAATAACACTGCGCATATCATCTCTTCTTGTTCTGATACTTACCAGACGCCTATGGTTACCTCCGGGCTTTAGAGGGATTAATCTTCGCGTTTCTTTTTTGTATCCTTCTGCTTCACTGTTTACGCAAGTTTGTAATGGTGATTAGACGCTGAAATATTTCATGTCCGTCAACCCATGTTATTATTGACATTATAAGAATATCTTGACAGCAACAATATTCAGCAGTTTATCTGATTTCCTCGAGTTTCCTTAAATGTCAATCATTCCAATGATTCTGTCCAACACAGTTCTTTCTATTGTGGTACAGTAAAGTGCATTGTTCACTCACGTCATCGTAAATAACTTATACAGCCTAACAGGTGAACGGGTTGGGCCTGCGGATTTGCTGATCACGTGTTCATCAACAGAAATAGGCAGCTTTAATTAAGAAGCCGTTTTCCTAATTACTGCTTCCGTGCCTTATTTCATTTTAGAAACGCATTTTTCTTCCGCCCGGTGTGTAAAATTCTTTGATTTCGAATGATGAGCCATATATGAAGGTTGCACATATTCGCCTAACGTGACAAAATTTGGAACCACGTAGGATTAACACCATCTGCCTAGCTGCGTTTTGTCCTCAAGCAAAATGAATACGACAAACGTAGAAAGGTACACACGAAATGTCATCTTCACCATCTGCACTTGGTATCAGAAAATAACTTGGAAAATCTTGATGTCCTAAAAAATGGCTGTAAAAATATTCGGGACCATCCTCGGATGATAGGAAATTTGACTAAAGGGCTATCATTGGATATCGCATAGGATTGGCTGCTCTGCGGAAGCATTGTGGCGAACGTGATAAGCCCTGATGATCGTAACAGTGGCGTGACTTACTTGAAGACATCGCATAAACTAGCTTCTTTCACTGAAGTGAACACTTGAGTATTTGTAGCCTTCAGAAAGAGCTAGCTTTGGTAGTGCGTTGTATCACATTTCAAGAGTAAAATTCCTCCTAGAAAAACTTTTCTCACTGTAGAAGCGATTTCTAAGTTTTTAGCATCCTTAACAGTCCAGGATAGCGTTAAAACCGCTGCGTATCTCACTGATTGGCAGTTGAAAATTGATTTTCCAAAAAATAAACAAGTGGATTCATTAGAACTTCCCATAGCATTAAAAACATTCGTGGCCAAAATCTGATTGGTTTGCTTGAATTCGGTGCCAGGCTTCGCCAAACTAAATGCAGGGCTTGGCTCTCACCCCGCAGATGTGGGGTAGAAGAAGTATTACATAATGAAGAAAAATTGGAAGATTTCCATGGGGGTGCTTCAATTAAAACCACTTTGCGGTTGGTGGAACAAAATTTGAGGCTTTTCCAAAAGACTACATTACCCGGCTGACCGTGGCAAAGTTACCCGTTGATCGGAAAATACTCGTAGATTCTGCATGCAGGAAAAATATGCTAAAATATCTTATGTCCCTTGGTCATATAACTATTTGGAGCGCCGTAGAAGTTGCATAAGGGACCGCTCAGTGGTGACGGGGGATAACAAATTTAATCCTTTCGGCAGAGCTGTAGAGAATCAGTTGTGATAGACGGTTGCATAGAGGGATGGACATTAATTGTCCTGGGTAGCGCAGTAAGTAATACACTCCTACGGTAAGCAGGATTTCAGCAGTCCGCGGTCTGCCATTTAGTTCAAGGTAGGTCTACGTTAAATTATTATCGCGGAATCTACAAAACACTTCCTCATTTTTTAACAGGAAAGGGGAACATTATCCGTAAAATCTATGGTTAGGAGGCGTGATAATGAGTGGAAAGCACTTCATAAAGATCAGGTAAGCGCTGACGCTTTCAAACAGATTAGGACATTCAACATGCCGACAAGAATAAGTAAAAACATAGCCAGTCGGTGGTCTATCAGAGTGGACAACGTTGAAAGCGTTTCCGCTATGGTATTTGCTCCCATCATGCGGATCAATGGGATCTGTGTAAATCAAGGGATACCAGTTAAACCTACGTCATCAACGATTCCCAGGAATGGCTATTGAGTTGCCTAAACTAAACGTCTGCTGTAGTACCGTCCACCGAAGAGAAATTAGCCTCACACTGATAGGTATGATCTGTACAAATAAACACATCAGTGGTCACTCAAACGCCAGGGACCGTGTGTGTTTCAGTGAACCCAGCAGCTCTTCATTATGAACCTAAACAAAGAAGGCAAATTTTAAACCACTATGCTTCTTTAATACAGGGGATTTTAGCTAAAATGCCAGATGAACACGAATGACACTGAAGCGCCTAATTTGTGAACTTTGATAAGAACTTGTTACAAAATGGAAGTGTTTGACCGATTCCATTTTTGTTCTCGGATTCTGGAGTTTCAAAACACCAATCCGCAGTTCGGAACACTAGATGTTTCCTTCGACGCCGCCGGGTTTGACCGCAGACAGTAACTGCCCAGTAATCTCTTGGAATGAAGCTATGGCTGCAACGAATAACGTACTTAGAAAAAAGGTATTCACTGAGAACTAAAAGTAGGAGAAGCCATTAGTGACCAGTCCAAGAAGGGAGATAGTTTTTCCTCAAAATTGCAATGAATTTTTAGGGCAGTGAACACAGATGAAATCCTTTCCATTGTAAAACACGTTGGTTTTAACCCATCATTCATTTCAGTGCACACGGAAATCTTCAGTAATTTCGCATTTTCCTTGGTCGACAATACTATGATAAATTTTGCCCACTAACTCATATCTGACGCAGTTCAGTTTTGTTCCCACAAATCTGCGATAATTGAATTCTCGATCAACGATTGCCATTGGTTGAGCATAATGAGGGAAAGATAGGAGAAACTGGGTTCATCTAAAGTAGGGTAGGAGGGCTACGGAATAAAATGATCAAACTAAAATGATCGCTAAATTTTGTGGCATCTTGAAAAAGGAAATAAAAGCCAAATTAAGCTTTACCGATAAAATCTTATAGATCCTCCGCCGTTTAATTAAATTTTCACAATGATTTCGAAAGCAGGGTGGAAGCGGAAACACATTTTTCCGCATTCTCGAATTCCAAATATGCGTGGTCGTAAAGCAGAATAACGTTCAGTTCTTCCATAAATTGTGGTAAGGTGAGAACCCATGATTTCGCTTTCTCCTTTTACCATAAAACGACCGCCAAATTACTGGGCAGCAGGGGAAATTTGGTGGGAAAACCTTCAAAGGCCACCCAAGTATTGTAAATAATGGATTGCAAGTGGGAGTTAAGTTTCAGTACATAAGAGCCAGATGAATAATTGCCGCAGAGAAAAACTGTGATGTTTGCTTGTGTGTCACCCATGTATGCATGCATCCATGATACCGGATTTGGAATGTTTTGAAAAAGTTCGCATCACTTGTTTTGGATAATTTTTAACACAACTGACTTCTGTAGTTTTTGAGTACAAAGGGTATTTTCGTCGGAAACATTTATAGGACTGTTTGCAAAAAGCGAAAAATGTAAAAATGCGAGCTCAAGCAATGTAATATGCGAGCTCAGCCTACTAGAAAAAAGCGTTTCCTGGCCATTTAACCACCTCATTTTTTTCTGACCAAACGAAAGTTCAATGATTAATATCGCCGTGCAAATAACGATTGCTGCGCGCCTATTAATAGCGCATGGGGTGTGTTTAGTGTGATGACTGCCAAAAACGGCGAGCTATCAGTGAAATAGAATGTGCGGGAATTGCGAGTATTGGTATTCACACAAAGTATGAACCGGAACGAGCTACCTCATGAGAATTCGAGGTCGTTTCATGTGTGCGTATTTTATTACATTGAATAAGATAAATACATTTGTTTCCTGAAGCCATAAACAAAGTGTGACTTTTAGCAAAGACAATCAAACATGAACCTTAACAACCTCTTGAAGAAACACGTTATAGTTGGTAACCAAAACAAAATGATTTCTCACCTGTACCACGAATATGCTGGTTCTCCTGAGCTGAATCCACTGGCAAAAGAGCGGCTGAAAACGTGTATTTTAGTCGAAATCCTCTTCGAGTTGACGATTGAGGTTGCACAGCTGACTGCCCACCAGTAGACGAGGATGCGGATGGGCCAGTGACAAACAGAATAAGCAGGTTTGGACCTGATGATACAACTCGAATATGTTTATTCGTACCGCAGAACCGCGATCCAATAACCGGGGTCGTTGGGTCAGGTGTCAACCCATCATAGAATAGCAAGTAGTCGGACGAACAGCTGTGGGAAAAACATATCGTTGGATCAAGCACCATCAGTTAAGTGAAACAGAAGTGCCAATTTTGCACAACATCAACTCTGGATAAAATACCCCCAGTCCATGTTCAATTTAATAAATTTGTCTGCTTAAGTCTTTCGAACTGCAAAATCCATATCTAAATATGTTCGATAAATTTAGGTTTTGTCACTATGAGTTATGTTATTTTTTGTTCCTCTGAACTATGTGGATTTATAAGCTGTCCCGTACAACAGTACATAAGGGCAACTGATTTACTGCCAGGATGCCGCATGATCTCACGAAGTGTAAGCAGCCTCTAAGAATCCTGGATTTGGGCCGTCCAAATGCTTTTCAGTAAACAGCTGTTTGATACACTGATATCAAGTCTATCAAAGAAGTGAGTGGTAGGTATTTAAATATTTTTGGATGAATGATATACAGGATGAAACCCTAATTTGTAATGGGACAAACAAAAGTTGGCAGCTGGCATTGGTGGAATGATGTTTCACAATATATCATTTGGCATCTGCCTGCCAGCCATGTTGCTTTGGGTCTATATTGCCATCAAGTAATTCTATACGACATCACATTCGGCCACTAAAATAAATGAATGCGACATATCAACCAGCGCTTGCATTCGTAATATTATGCCGCACGGCACTCGTGAATTCGGATAGCCATCAAAAACCATTGGTATATTTTTGGTTGAGATGCGGTCTGTAGTGACAAGGGAGACCAAGGTACTATGAGGCGCAAATTATAGGTGCTTTGACAAAATTAGTTAATCATGAGGAGCTAAAGACTAGAAAAAACGAGCCTGGAGAAAAGCCACTAATTTAGGTGCAGCGTACATCATCACTCTGAATACTTCAATATTCAGTGAACAGGTCCATTGTCCAGCCTATGGAGGTATCCTACATATGAAGGAATATACACGAACAGAAATGGACTTGCGCAACACGACACTCCCCAGGGTCCATTGAGCAGTGCGGTAGGTGCTTCTAACGCCAGCAAGCCACTCCTGCCTAAGAATCTAAAGCATATATATAAAGAGTGATTCGGGAATCTACGTTGGCACCACACAGTCAATCAAAGCAGGGAAATGTGGAGAAGTCACTCATGTTATGGCACGGACCTGTGCAGGAATGCGTGCTGTACAGCAGGTAAGATGCTGAGTGACTCAGTTTTTCATAATGTCTTCGGCAACTGGTTCGAGTAGTGCGCCAGGCTAAAGGAAGTTTCAAGGTAATTCCAAAATCCACCATTATGAAGAATTATCCTAACCGGAAATGACTGCGATAGATTGACTGATGATAGGGACGATAATTGGAATCCCCGTTCTTCTGAGGATTATCACGTTTGTTTGCAGTTTCAAGCCATTTTATACAATAAATCCAGCTAATCTACTATAATTAGCCACAATGTCACAGTCACTGTGCCATATCCACAGGTACTCAGTCTCATTTGAGATTTAATTCTTCCGGTTGCTTCTCTATCCTCACTAGAACAACGTAATCTCCCAGCCCAGTAGAGGTCAGAGGATATTGGTAGACTTTACGCAACGACTGAAATACACGTTGAAATGGAATACGTTTTTCGCATATGTTGCCTGTATGATTCAGAAAAGCTTACTGGGTTTACACTAATGAGAAAGGGATTGCCATCCAAATGTACTGTGGGTCCACTAAGGCCCATCAGTTTTTTTTCTGTTGTAGGGTACACGGCAGAGTCTTATCCATAATACTTCCTCCAATCTAATGGGGATATGAGTCAAACAACAAGGTACAGATACTCCATATTCCTTACGCTGGATTATAAAATTAAAACTGTACCAACTGCAACGCCATCCAGTCTTAGGTTACATTATCTTCTCTGTTCACCAGAATCTCTCCGAACCATCTAGACTTTTACAAAAGGAATCCGCAGTTTCCATGCTAAATTCACACTTGGATTGGCTTTTGCGTGCTGCTCAGCAATGGTGGAAATGGTTAATTAAAATGCATCTGACTAAAGCCTAGACACGAAGAAATGAACAACTGAAACCAACCCGAACAAAAAGCTAATTTTTGGCATATGGCTGCTGTAATTTTGACTACAATCTTAGTTTGAGTTTAGAAGTTTTTTTGGAGGGGGCTTATTAAATGGGGCTTTGGGAAACCGAAGAACTTGTCATTCACGCACCTGCGTAACAACAGGTCAAAATATGAGGGAAGTTCCTGTTTGACATTCAGACTAACACCGCCCTATTCTGAATGATCAGCGTGATTTGAAAGCAGCGGTAGAATCTTGGAAACGTACTGCACCTACCTAGGGGCAATGGGTAAGTGGTTAGGCACCTGACACTAGAGAAAACACGAACGGCCAAGGAAACTGCACAGGTAAGCGGATTAAACTTCAGGATTGTGATAAACCGGTGTAAACCTTTTCAACTTTATTCTGGAAATTTGAACGTTTCAAAGTAATTTTGTGTAAACATTTGAATATATGAACGTCGGCCTAAATAACCACGACTGTAAGATACTTTTGTTTGCATAATTTGGTTTTGAAAACATAAAATGGAGTTAAGAATTACCATGTGCATTTTCATTCTGTAAGAATTTAGCCTTGTCCGCTGCGATGTGCAGACGAAACGTCCCACAAACTAGAGTACTACTGATATGATTGACTGTATTCACCCGTGTTTGCAACACACCGGTGAATAAATGGGGAAATGCAGTCAACAAATAGTTATATCATCGCTGGGCAAGACATTTTCAGCTCATGAAATATTTTCACTTTTCCTACTTTCTACGGAGGACAGACAGCAAGCCTTCATAGGTGCTATTCAATCTTCGTACTGTTGAACCAGCTTCAGAAAATTTCAATTTGGTCACAATATGGTAAAATACTAAGTGGAGAAAATGAAAAAAATTCGCCACACCAGTAACGTTTATTGTCATGAACTTTAGATAACAACCAGTCATCAAACACGACAAAATGCATAACAAACTGCAATCGTTCTGCGGCTTCTATCACTCTACTTTTCCATGGAATCTTACGCTGGTAGACATTGATTTTTGATAAGTAGTACAGCGTTATGATTACTCACGTGATTAGCCATACAGGTGCCGCAAACATCAACACCGGAGGAGGAAAATGCGCTAAATTCATAGAACTAATATGGTGACTACAAATCGGCGCATAAGTATAAGATGCTATATGCTTCCTGAGGAGATACTATGATAGCGGACACAGATGAACTCACGTTCTGAATTTTAACACGCCATATAAACCTAGTTACAGCATATTGTAAGATTAACGGTAAAAAGCGTGAAATTTTTGGGCACTTTGCAATGTCCCATACTACAAACACGGCTTCAACATGTCTCGAAAAATTTCTTCCAACTAAGCTAGGACTTCACAATTAATTACAATTACATTATGGGTATTGAACAAATCCAGATGGCAGTGAGGAATTGTTAAATAAAGAATGTTATAAATTATTACATAGCCGTCAAACCTGCTACTTTGTGCTACAAAAACCCGTGTATTTCACCAACTTTTCAAACTTTTCTATGCTTGTAAAATGGATTTTCGCATTCTTGCAGCTCTTTTTGAGCATCCAACAAAATGTCGTTTACGGTTACCACAACTAGGCAGCATTTCAGAACCTTGGTAAGGGGCTCTGCGTGTAATTTTATTTTTCTCAACCAATTTTTACATGTGTTCAATCACTTTTGCCAGAGATCACCTATATTAGTTTGAAATTCTTGGTTATCTTTGTTTGCACTTGATTCCTCGGCTTGTTAGCTGACTGGATCTGTCTTACCCATCTGGACGATTTGAGAGCTCAGCCAACTTGGTTGCACCAGAACTGGATGTATGACACAATGCCAAATGCATGCACGTCTGGCTCCGAATGCTTTCTCAAACATGCATCTTGAGTGTGGATACCTGCAGCTAAATTAAGCCTCTTATGGTTCACCATCAGTGTGCAGGCTTCCAGTGATGAAAACAATATCTATCGGCAGACGCACCGCATACGGCAGTCGGCGGAGAAGATTAGGTTCGCTCACACCATTGTCGTAGAGAGTGCTGTGCAAATTGAGGCTAGCTAAATGTTATTACTCGCTGTAAACAAACATAGCAGTGCCGGTATTTTGTGTCAAATGAGCCCTTGTCTTGATAGTGGTGAAAGCAGTCGATTCCGTATTGAGACGAAAAATTGGACCAGATATTCAACTTCATGACTGGATATTCACACAAAGCCGTAAAATTCTCCGTTTCCATGGATGCAGCAAGCGCGCCTTGCCTTAGGAGCGCATGTGTTTTTTGTCGTAATAGGTGTTCTTCACAGCTCAAATGGATATAATGTGAGATAGCAGCAATGAAAGCCTTGATTGGCCTGTGTTGAACGGAAAAATGTTGGCTGTTGTGGATTTTTAGCGATTTTTGATGATGCGCGCTTGGGTTACACTGAAATATGATCTCTTACCAATGAGTGGATAATTTCTTCCGTTTCATGTGGACACGTTTCGCTCCCTTATTACCAGAAACCGTTGCCGATCTCCCGGAACCACAGCAGTCGTTGGGTCTGAGTCGAAATTGATCGTCGATGTTCGTTGAATCCTCTGGTGTAAACTCCTGGAAATTAGCAATGAAGCTGATCGGGGGCTCTGACCTAACCTACTGCTACTGGCCCCTGACTGGAATCTTAGGGGGCGTTACAGTGATGTGACACTATAAACCTTGGATGCGGCAACTGAAGTTGGAAAACGTAAATTTAACTACTTCCCAGACATTAACGGGTGGGATGGAATGCTATAACATACATAAAGCCATATCAATCCAGTTTTCAACAGTGAGGCACAATTGTGTATGACCACTCAAACGATAGTCTCTCAGTTCTCCGAATGATCATCTTTTCACTCCGAAAGTGACGCGTGCGTCGCAAACACTCTTCTGTCAATGCTGTCACCGTCCTCCTGAAGGCATACCTCTCCGTAAAACGACCTGAGAGGATAATTTATTAATGCTACCGCATTAGCAACTGATCAAATACAACGTTCTTGATGACTGAGGTATACAGTTAAATGAGAAATTCACGCTCGTGAATTATTTTAAACATAATCTGGCGTATAAGTCTGGCTGGCATAAAACTCTATTGTACGAAAAGGCATTGTATAAAGAATGAAGTAATTCGAATGCTCCATAGAAAGTTAGCAAACTGGAAAAAACTTTGGTCCAGGAAGGAACTGTATTTTGGTTTTGAATACGTTGTCCATGTATGACAAATTTATCGAGTTTTTGTAATTTTCCAATTGAAATATGGTATTTTTCATAAAGCAAAACCTTCAGATATCAATTTTTGTGACAAGCCAACCCAAATAAATGATCAAAACATTGGCTTTCATCTAGCTATCGACTAGACTCACACGCTGGCTACTTCAGGTAAGTCTAGATCCAAAATATCTAGATTTACACGTTGTGACGGAAGTCCAACAAGCTGGTATGCGCAATGCAACCCATCAGGGTGATAGCCAGGGTAGGTTGGAGATATCAGTTCACCAGTGACGCCTGGCAAGCTGTCCGACAGATCACCACCACCGCCACCACGACCAGATATCTGTGCCCCGGTGGTGACATCCACGCGGAAGCGACAGGCTGCAGTTTGACGTTCGGTCGATATACTTGACAGTTCAGCGTGTGTCAAAGCCCGACCCGGGTAGAAGGTGGCTGTAATGAGAAAATTTGCGGAAAATGCGCGAATATTCAAAGGACTTTCGCTATCCATGTAGTTCTCATTTTTTTATAAAAACAAAAGACGGAAAAGTAATAAGTGTCTGGTAATTCAATTTGGTAAGGTTAATCCCGACCAGAAGTAGGAGTATCCTTTAGGAATTGAAGTAAACCTTCAGTCCCTGAAAGCAAAATTGTGTGGGATCCCCTAAAAATTCACCCAGTTCCTAATTTAAATTGATACCCAGGTCATATTGCAATCAATTTCCTCTTTTCCGTAAATCCATGCACTTTCTGGTATCAGATATAGTTAGCTAAAATGTATGTTGGTACTGCCGCAGAAAGAAAATGCGAGCAAACAAAGATATATGATACCCCGAATTCCTTTCTTATAAGTCCTGTTGTTGCCAGACAATATTATTTGTCTGGTTTGGTCAAGTTGAAACAGTTAATATCTGTTTGGCAGTGAGCATGGTCGGCTCTCTAAGCAACCGGCTACTACGTTCATAACTGACGTGGATTCAAAAGAATATTATGATTGAGAAAACCACAAGGTCTCCAAAACACTATTCGATTCGATTGTGTGCAGTTACAGCAGTGGACAAAATTATGAACCTTCGGTCGGGAAACGTGGGTTCGACGCACTCTAGGGAGCCTTGCATTTGGACGTCAGCCGCCGTCACCGTGTAATCCACATGTTGTTTTCAGCGGAAAACAAGGCAGAAGGATGTTGTAAAGTGTAGAAGAAGTCAAAGGTTTTGTAGTTTAGGGCGTCATTTCAAAATAATCAGCAAAAGTAACGCGTTACCTAATATAATGGACTTACGTGGGTCAGGACTGTTGTAAATAAACGGTATTCCGTATTCCTTTAATCACACTCTAGTTGACGGAAACAACGTCACCACTGGCTTTGTCCGATAATTACTACATTTGAAAAGTATGTCTCCCAGTAGGTGTCATTAAATTAGTTTGTCGATTTGTCACTTGGGCAACAGTGCTTCGGAGCGAAATAGTTAGAACAAAATAGTTCACAAAGCACCAAATTTTAGTGGCCTGTATTAATGGAATAACTGCTTGCCGTCGTAACCATACAATGTATATTGAGGTATAAACGAAAGAGATTGTCGGTTCAGACGCAGATTTTGGATAAGCAGAGTTCATGGTTAGTTCCACTGATGCTGGATATGCTTGTTCATTTATTATCATCAGTAATAGGAGAGGTTGACTGTCAACCGAAAGGAATACACTAAGGAGAATGCAGATCAGTTACTTGCACTGAAAATACTTTTGTGCCCATCGCACACCCTAAAATACAGATTAGACCGCACAATTTTGGTGACAAAAAAGATATTCTTTCAGAATTTGTTGGCCGTGCCAATAATACCAATAATGCTAATGATAGTATTCGTACCATCAGGAAAATGGCAGCAATAACTCAGTGTCACGGATAACCTCGGAGCAATGCTTCCGGCATTTGGTGATGAAGCTCATTCAATCCATGAAACTGCTAATTCAGATAACTTTACGGTGCACAAACATACACGGAGGTGGGATCAAGAGGAGAGCTTTTGCTGAAATGGCGTAATTCACAAAGTATCGACAGATGATGGCTTGTTTTGTAGTCTGTGGGCATAGCGACGAGAGAAACCAAGGGAAGTTCGATAAGTAAACAAACTGTGCTGCAAGAGTGGAGATCTAACTGCAGGCTACATTATGATCAAACAAGCTACAAATATCTCCCCTTAAATGTGTTAGTATTCTTGATTTTTGTCTCCTTAGTGTTCTGTTCTATCCTATGCATATCGTCATAATCACTCGGCGGAAAGACTCATGTCAAAGATGTCAGACCCTTAGTATGTGACTGGATCTAAAGGGATAATAATATTCCCATAGTTCCAGCAAATTACGTCAAATAATTTTAACACATCCCCTCATCAGTTGCTGTCTGATATGGTTGTGCAGAAAGATGCTTCAAAAGTATGATTCAAACTGTAGGACCCCTTGAAGAGCGTGTACCTGAGAATTTCAGTTTAACCGGCCTCTCTCTCTCTCTCTCTCTCTCTCTCTTGTAAGCAGCTCTTTCAGTTACCACGTGTGCATGAGCTTGAGTTTACAAATTGTGAGTAAAAACTGGGTGCGAAAGAGAAGAGCAACGTGTTCAATTTATCCAAAAGCACTTTCACCTTCTCCACTTCCATTACCATTTCCACGAACTTCTGGGGCATTCCTTGATGGACAAGCGTGTCAAGGAGAACAAACCGGTCAACCGAGTCCTGGAAATCCAGGAATACTGCCTAATTTAGCAGTATGTGCCCGAGCAGTGTTGCCCAGTCTGGCGCTCAAATCAGAGTATTCCCTAAGATAAATGTGAGACTTATATGAGGAGCCAGTGGGGAAGTTGGCTATTAACAAATGAGCAGTCAATAATCCACTGTCAACTTCTGGACAAAAGTACTCTGACTGGGATGATTTTGGCAGGTCACCCTAATCGACTATGTAGAAGGTGTAAAACAGGAGCCTTTGGAATATGGTGTACTCTATTTTCTGAATATTATTTTGTGGAACAAAAATTCCTTACCATCAAAATCCTTTGAAGTATACCCAAACTTTAGACCTTTCACCTGCCTGCATGTGGTGGTGAAGGAACTATACACACAACGAACATTGATTATTCTATTCTGAAGTAAATAACCAATAATATCACCTATTCTAGCTCGCATAGGTAGAAAAATTGTAGCTCCACACTTCTGCGCAAAATATGAAACCTTAGTCGAGAGTATGTACCCTTCTTTAGCATGAGGGTAAGGGAAATCTTTGACGCAAAGTTTACACATCTTTGTAGAGGAACTCAAAAACGACAGCAAAAGCATAAGTGGTAATGCTATTACACCTATCCTCACGGTAACGGGCACTTAATCTGACAAGTATTGTGAACGCGATTTCGGTTCCAGGCGTCGACTACCTCGGTAGTGCTGATTTAAAGGGGTGTCGAAAATCCCACGAAGTTACAGGTAGTGATAGCCCGAAATATCTCTACATCAGTTTAAGGTGTGTTAAGCATACACCACACTCATACTGCAACATACCATTCTCTTCTGCCCTTGTACTCTATTCTATTCTAGGAAATTAAATAGTTTGTTGTGGCAAGGGAAAACAATGTGATGGTTACTGAGACAGAAGCACATGGTGAATCAGGCAATGTCATGACAAACTGGTTAATCAGGAACAGAATGCAGACGTCGAATACCATTATAATAGGAGGTTTCACCGTAGAAATGTCGGCAGAAACAACAAAAAAGCATACAACTCTCTGATTAGATGTCTATTCGTCTCTAAATTTTCCGAACTTGTCCTTAAAGTTCCTATTGAATCGGTATAAATGCTAGTTTTCAGCATCAGTTTCTGGCGTCAGCTGCACTAATGTTTAAGGTGTGGTAGTCGGAAATGTATCCAGTGGTAAATGTAGAGATTAATTCTTTCTCTAAAATGGTCATTGTAAAGAACTAGGTAAATCATATGATTACCGCGCCTAAAACAAGCCCCTGTACGAATGAAAATGCAACCGATCCACCGTGGACAGCGAGCTAGACGAAGCAAAACGAGAAGAGTTCTAAATGTAGGACGGAATCATGTGTCACAAAAATAACATGTGTCCTCCCTCGAAATTGGTCGTATTACGTGGGTGACTGTGAATGTGTTCATGTGAGGTTTCTAAAACATTTGTATAGTGCGAAATTCGAAAATTAACCCATGCTAAGTAGATTAACTATGCCAGAAGTCACTTCGTTTCAGTTTTCGATGCCAAAATGCATACAAAATAACTAATGTAACCAAGTTCTGATTATCTAAATCCAAGTACGTATGACCGGCATTATGAAGGGCGCAGTGAGCCGAAATCCTCTGCTTACTAATACTTCTGTTTCCCAATAATATCTGAGGGCTCTTTTTTTCCCTAGAAAGATGCTGGTATAATGAACTTTAGAGCACAGATACTGTTGAAGGAAGAGAAACTTCAGGATATAGACCTGAGTGATTGCGTACGAACTATCCCACGTGTTGAGTTTAAGGGTGGAAAAATAAAAAAAGTCAACTTTTCGAGCCGGTTTTAAATTTCTGCAGTACAATGCATTGGTTGATATACGAATTATGGCCTAAGAACACACTCGAGGTTCGAGGACTGATATGGCATTTGTAATAACGTCGAATATGGCCATTCATTTCAGTCCGGTCTCCGAACCTCTGTCGAATCATCATACATGATACGTGCGGTCCACGTTAAATTTCACACGTAAAATAGAGTGAATCCCGATGGTAAAACATGATATGATTCCGATAGTAAATTACGGATGTATAAGAACAGAACATGTGAACTGATATTTGGTCGATAATTTGCACTAACATGTGCGACGAACCTGTGGACATATGTAACTCTTTTGATGTATATTTGTCTAAGTTAAACGTCTCTGTTTGCTCACGTGAAAAAAAACTTTAAAACGCTTGTGTAGAATCACATTTTCCGCTCTTTCAGCTGCCCCATTCGACAAGTCTCAAAAGTCCGGTTATCATGGTCTTCGAGAAAACAGCTGTCATTTATCGAAAATGCTGTTTCTACATCGGACTATACGAATAATCTTCAGAAGCCCATACTTTCTATGGCTAGGTCAAACACAGTGACTCATCTAAGCGAAAGGGTTAAAAATCAGCTTTTCAGGGTGCTTGATGATAGTGAATTGTTATTTTTCTTTAGCTGTCACCTAGTTATTTTATCTAGAAATCTTCATAAGCTAAATCAAATCATCTGTGAGAGCTCAGGTCCGTAAAATTCTGTACGGTTCTTTAAACCGTTTTGTACACAAACAATGTTGCTGCAAAATATTTTTGTTTTAAAACTCGGTGTTTTCGTTTTGATGAAGCATGTAACATGATGAAACACCTGCACTTTCACGGCGTATCCCCCAGACATAAAGCGCCTTCGCTCTTTTTTAGTGACACGGATTCACGAACGCATGTGTGCTGCCGTAGACATATCATTTTCTGATGTATGACTTCACAATT